AAGCAGCGATAGAATAAGAGACGTGTGAAAACCTTCTGAACGTTCTCCAAGGTCTGCTTGTGCTTCGCCAAAGAGGGACTCCATACCTGATTTGCATACTCCACTATAGGTACAACAAAAGTTTTGTAGAGTTTCAGCAGTACTCTGGGGTCATCAACTGTGGTGTTGCGATAAATGAGGTAAACTACAGAGATTGCACGAGAGGCTACGCTAGAGAATTGTGAGTCAGGTTTCAAAGATTGATCAAAAAGTACTCCCAAATCCTTGATTGATGTTTTCTTGGTCAGGGTTTCTCCAGCATGCTCATAATGGAATCCATTATCCCTGCCATTGCCAATGTGAAAGACAGAACTTTTGCTCACGTTCACAGAAATATCCCAGCCCTTGCACCAATCAACCATAAGATTGATAGCGCGCTGAAGTGCAAGTTGAACATCTCGGCGATTATCATTGTTATAGATGGCATAGATTTTGATATCGTCAGCGTACATTAGCACATGGATATCTGCGTGGGTTTTCAATATCCCGGGTAGGTCGGCGGTATAGATATTAAATAAAAGAGGTGACAGAGCTCCACCTTGAGGAAGCCCACTCACGCATGGAAAACGCTCAGAATGTTCCTTGCCAACACGAACAGTCATATGTCTGTCACTGGGATAAGATCTGAACCATTCAAGTAGGTCTCCTCTAATGCCATAATGATCCAGCTTATACAACAATTTCTCATGACTTATACGGTCAAATGCTTTGGACAAATCGAAATAGATTACATCAATTTCCTTATCGTCGAGAACAGCTCTGATCCAATCGTGGGTGCAATCCACCAGTTGTGTTACCGTGGATGCACCGCTAACAAAGCCATGCTGTTCAGTAGGTATGAGCTTGAATTTTTCGAACCATTCAAGGAGTTTATCACGCAGTATTTTTTCAAGAACTTTGCATGCGACTGAATTAATACTTATGGGTCTAAATTCAGTTACGGACCGTGGTTTGGCTTCCTTTGGAACAGGAGTAACGATGGCTTCCTTCCAAATGCTAGGTACTTGTCCGCAGATGAAACAAATATTGAAAATATGAGAGAGGGGAACTGAGAGTTCTTTTGCACATTTTTTAAACAGAATTTGAGGAAGTCCGTCAAAAGGTTCAAATGTTGACTGTTTCAGAGTCCTTAAAAAGCATTCAACCTTATAAGGCACTAGCTGGCTTGCCCGGCTCCGCCGGGCCTGCCAGCTAGACCCGTGTACGTATGTTCCGAATAGAAATTTTTATCTCTGAACCGATTGGGACCGAACTTTGCACACATACACTTCGGGGCAGGGAGCGTGTCACAGCCCACTTTTCGTTATCGATCGATGTCGATTTTACCGATTTTTTGCAAAATTTGAGCTAGGGGGCTAGGATTTTGCACAGGGGGGTAATCGAGCATGCTGATCACCCCTTCGGGGTGATCAGCATGCTCGATTACCCCCCTCTGCCAAATCCCAGCCCTCTAGCTCGAATTTTGCAAAAAATCAATAAAATCGATATCGATCGATAACGAAAAGTAGCCTATGACACGCTCCCTGCCCTGAAGTATATGTGTGCCAAGTTTGGTCCCGATCGGTTCAGAAATAAAAATTTGTATTCGGAACATACGTACACACATACATACAGACAGACATACAGACAGACATACAGACAGACAGACAAACAGACATTCAGCTTTATATATAAGATGATGATAGGAAGTGTACACGCATGGCTCAGAGGCACTCCAAGAGATCTAGAATCAGAAATGTTTAAAGAGAAGGTGTTCGCAAAAAATTCGGCCAAAGCCTTTGCTTTATCTTGGTCCGTAAGGCATATTGTACCTGACATATTCGTTAAGGCACCATGGTTTTTGAGAGACATTTTTTGGCGGATGTACGAAAAGAGATTTCTGGAATGTTTAGAGGACGCCAGGCGTTTCTCATAGTTTGCAAGAAATTTCTTGATATGATATGCTACGTCTGAGCAAACCTTTTTGTAAAGCGGGCTGTTATATCGAAATTCTCTAAAAAGCCTTTCTTTTTGGAAAATGAGCGACTGAATATGGCTAGGGTACTTGAGAAATCCAACCTTACGGAACTCGAATGGAGTGTGATTGGCCAATAGTTTGTACATAATGCAACAAAATCTATAGTATACATCAGAAGGATCTTCATATTGATCAAAGCAGCTTTTCCAATCTATAAGTTGTAGTTCTGCTTTAATTGCATCAAAATCAATTCTAGAGAAACGAGGAGTTGGGATAAAAGGACATTTGACTAAATTTGTAACGGAATTCAATTATGTTATGGTCAGCTGTTCCAAAAGGTGCTTTCACCAATACCTTGTCAATAGAATCAGCATGTGCTAAGACTAGATCAAGAATGGCATCTTCGCGTGTCGGTTTATCCACAAATTGGTTTACGTTTAGGTTATGGAAGATTTCAAGAAATTTGTGGGCTAGGGGATAATTTTGGTGTTGCAAGTTGAGTGGGTATCTTACAGGAAGGTTGAAATCACCAACGATGAGAACTTCATTTGTAGCGAGAGCGCAGGCGGAAAGTAGATCCAGGAGAACGTCATCAGATTCATGGTCAGTGCTAGGAGGTCGATAGACACATATCGTGCATAATTTAACAAGTGATCGGGATTGGTAGAGATCAATCACTATTAATTCGTAGTTGCGGTGAGGGTTTATTTCAATTTTCTCGCACAGAAATTTCGAGTTAACCAGTGTGCAAACTCCGCCGCCCCTTTTATGGAGTCTATCACAACGAAAGATGATATATGGCAAATCAGATACAATTTCCGCATCGGATACTTTGGATGATAACCATGTTTCGGTAATGAATAGAATATCAGGACGTTTAGTGGTAAGGAAAAGATGTAACTGAGATAATTTATTCTGTAATGATCTCGAGTTGAACAAAAAGCATTTAAGAGAATCACCTTGCCCGTCACTCAGTTTCCCTGGAACGCTGCTGCTGGTTGACGGCGAGCCTTAGATGAATTTTGAGAGGAGGATGCATTGGTGTGTGAAAGGGAGCTAGCCAAAACCAGCTCAGCTTTATAAACCACATATCTGTACCAACTCCTAGATTGGTTCAACTTTTTTGCCTGCTCTCGCAAATTGCGTTCGTGATCCCTTTCCTGAGCCGTCATACTCCTTCTGATATAGATCCCTTTGAAATTTGGGGAATCTCGGAGTAATCGGGCTCGAGAAAGGGCAGAACTCCAATGCCCCCTCGTAGGTAATTCAACCTTCACAAGGCGTGGCATATCAGTCGCACGATTACCCATTCGAAAGACCTTTACAGGTGTGCACTCTATGTCCAGAGCATCCAAAATTCCACGGACCTTCTGTTCTGTGTCATTTTGGCGCTCTGATGCTAGAGGAGCAGCCTGGTTGTTCCCATCGACAAGCTCGGGTAAACCCGCAATGACTATGCTTCTTTGGCGGGCATCTCTCCCCATCGCTCCATCTCCTAGTTCACCCAAACGGAGCAAAATCTCATTGGTGATCTCGCTGACCTCTGGAATGTTGAGGTCCAACAACTTTTTGAAGAGCTGAAGAACCGGTGTCATGACGTCAATTTTGCTTTCGCTCACCATGCTGGCGTCAATCCAAGTGACGTCAATCAGGGCTCGGCACGAGTCGGTTTCTAGGGTTTCTGAAAACGAAGTCTCGCCTGACTTTTGGAAGTTTTACGAAGTCCTCTTTGACCTACCTGCTTAGGAGAAGAAGAAAGCAAGAAAGATTCACTAGTCAGAAAGAAAAGAAGTAAGATAAGAGTGAAAATCCAAATTGGAGCTGAATACTACGATACTTTAGCATTAGAGCGCGATATCTAACAAACCAAATAGAAATGAAAGCAAAAAACAAAGGAGAGGCAACGATATGAAAACGTCTTCATGCTCAGGGATAGATTTTTGATTGGGGAATCCGTCCATGCTAAAAAGATCCGAAACTTATGTGAAGTGACGAAAATATATGCTCCAGACGATCTCAGATCGTCTGGTGGCCGTCTGAAAGATCTAATTTTGGAAAAGGTACTATTTTACATAAGTTTTCAAATCTTTTCACATAATACTTTCGCAAATAATTTTCTATACATACAGTTCAATTTGGGTGTCATAAGCTTCTGTGTGCGCTGTAAACAAGCAATTCCTTTAATTAAGCCTTGCTTTCAAATCGCGCGCACTTTCCGCCATGCACGATAGAGCATGTCAATCGTGTGATAACCTGTCCAAAAGCTTGTGTTCGACTAAACGGCGCTTATTCTTGGTGCTCTGTTCGGACTCGTCAAAAACGATATCCCCTTTGCTGTTTGCTTCAAAAACGAAGTCCAGCCTGCTTCCAGACGATCTATGCCGGGCCCTGACGTCAATTCTGCGCGGTACCCCAACCTGAACAAAATATTCGCTTACTCTGGCACCTACCTTTGCACCCCGCGAACGCCGCACGAGGTTCTAGCGTTGCGCTTGGTCGAAAGGGGCGCACACTTTGACACGAACTGTGCAGAGCTCCTACTTTGCAATGCGGACTCCCGCAGTTCTCTATCTTAAGTAGTTGAAACTTTATCTTGAATAAACAAGCAAACAACGATAAAAAGTATGCAGATATATTTAGACACAATATATAGTAGTAGAATTGTGAGTTCAATGGTAACCTGCACAAGAACTTGTAAAACAGTTTGATACGAGACTACTACTACGCTTTTGTTGCTATTATAATAATTACTACTGCAGTACTCGTATTCGTTCCCCATCTCCCAGAATACTTGTGGTACGAATGATCACCTTCGAGACAGCCGCTATTTACACCCTCTCTAGGGTCGAAGTTCAGAAACCCCGCTGTGATCTGTCTGCGTCGTTCCAAAAGCAGTTTTCTCAACATAATATGCTACTGGAACAACAATCTCGTAAAGTCGTCAGTAATGGTAACTCTTACATAACAGACAACGAAGTACATGAAATTTGCTGAAATCCATTACTTGCGTCTACCAAGAGTCATTCAGAATCAGGAACGACTCCTCCTTTGCTTTTCTGGAAGAAAGGCGGCCACATCACACATCACCTGACGACACCGATCTACCGCACTAAAACCTCTTCTGCCATTTCGAATCCACTAAACAACAGTTGGTTCGTCAACCCAAACCCTTTAACATATACCAAACGGATTGCCTCTAAAAACAGAATAAGCTCCATCAGCTTTTGGCGAAAGCCACAAAAGTGGGATTATTTATTCTAAATCATGCAAAGGTAGCGAGAGGTTGCCGAAAGACCAATTTTTGGAGGTAGAGAGGGATTAGGCAAAGAATGTGGAGCTCAACAACAAACAATAACAAGATTTTTGAACGGGAAGGGATAAAAGTACTATACATCACTGAACATCCAGCTGAACTTTCTTCTGAATTCACGGAGAATTCGCGTGCACTCTTCTGCCGTTTTGTATACACCAATCTTAGATCTACAGTCATGTGCCGGACGCTGAAGCTCTTCGGACAGATCGGACCTCTCGTCGTTTGAAATTAGGTCTAAACCCATTTCCAACCGAGCTTCCCGAATCTAAAGGGCGCAATTGATTGACGTTGAATCTAAAAGGGTATCAAATTTGCTTACTTGCTCAGGTGAGTAACGCAGGGTTGTCAGTTTCTCTTTCATTCGAGTCAATCTAATTTGTAAAGCGTTAATGACGAATCCGCGGGCTTGGCTTAGGTGGCGCTCCAGCAGCATCAGAGCACGTACATGGTATCCAAGATGAAAGTTCGGACCCATCTATAATAATTGATCGAGACCGTGACAAAGCAATTGAGCACTAACCTTGAGACCCTTTTTGCTTTCAAAAGCAAGCCAATGCTCTGGCAGATCGACGGTGGCGCAGAGCAAACAGACTGCATCTACGAATTTGCGATCGGCTTCTTCTCCCTCAATCCGGCCATAAACCTCTTTCGCTGCATTCAAATATTGCAGCTGATCGCCGTAATCGAGGGCGGTCTGTTCATATTCATCGAGATATCGCAACAACTCTTCTCGTGGAAATGATGGGACCTAAAAATGTCAAAGACAATATAAATGAATAAATACTCATGAACAAGCCCTGCTGAACTTCTTTTGTAGGATAGAGACAACAGTTCAACGCGGAAAAATCGAGAGTCAAACTAAGTTTTTGCAACTAGTAAATACTAGTGGATGGTATCCGGGAATCGTCTTTGCATTTGATCAGAATCGAATCACCAAGGCCCCTATACATGAACATCCCTGCGCCCAGAAAAGGAACGTTCCCATTGATGAAAACACGCAGCGGCGTTCGCCCGGGTCCCCTCATATCGTTCATGCACAGTGGCCTGAGATGCAGTCTGAATAGAAACGCAAAAGTCCGCAACGACGTCGAGCCCATGTATCAAAAAAAAACAGTTGGGCATAGAAGAAGATGATAATGTATCGTGCGAGAGCGGCTCAAAAAGAGAAATGTAAAAGTGTTAGATACTACCTTTAATGCAGAACGAATCAGAGAATCGACGACTGCAACAGAATGGGTACGACTGTGCTTAAAATCGTTGTACAGTGATTTATACTCCTGAAACTTTCTTTTATGATGTTGACATAACTACAAGCCGACTACGAACCTTCACAGCGTCTTCGAATTCGTTATGATGGTAGTGGTAGGCAGCTTTATGATACACCAGTTCCCTGGACAAAAAGAAAAACTATCGTACTCTGGAAATGAATAGCCTCTCACCTCTTTTCATCATCTGTCCTACTTTTTGTACTTGACTGAGCAAGGAACCAGCCTTTATCATGAATCTCTGCCCTATACTGTTCAGGAGTACAGAACTGAACGCAATTCTTAACGTCATCGTCATCAATAACAAATTCTCCAAATATATCAGATAGCATGATGAATTCCTATAAAAACTGATGATGCCCGACGACATACTCATATATGTGAGAAAAGTCTCACTTACAAAATGTCAATGGTGAACAAGGTAAACTGAGACGGAATGCGTACGTCAATTCTTTTTGTATGATGATGTGACCTCTGGCCGATTCTTCTGCATACACTTTCTGAATGCTTCCACCTAAAAACAGAATTCAATATTTATATGATCAGAACGACCAGAAGTAATTCTATACCTGGCTCCGGCACTGCCTCCAATCGCCAGTGTCTGCTTTACAGTCCAAGATTGCGATATGTTCTTCCCAGCACCCGGTTGCTCTAAAAGTAGAATATCAAGGAAACAGGATGTACATAGGTAGTTTTGGGAGGCCATCAGGAATTCTGGAAGAGAGAAAAAAAGAACGGTTGCACACTACGGTATGTTTTGATTGCAGTGTCAACATTTCAATGGCATCTCGGCGACTGGGGGCGTCTCGCTGCGAATGCGAGCCCGCGCACAAAAGAGACACTGCGATCGACGCAGACCGTAAAGCACATCTATGGACTATGAATGATTAAAAGAAATTAACCGACCTCGCTTAGAGAATGATGTTCAGATATAAGTGAATTTCAGAAGTGGAGATGTAACGAACCTGATACTCTTTTCAACAAGATCCTCCTCTTCTGTATCCTTTGGTGGTATGAGAGAAGGATGCGTGGAATATTTGGACATCAACTGAAGTAACTATGACTTCCAAAAATATGGAGATTCATAGTTGAGAAAGACACTGACAGCGAATACGCATGAAAATGGAACAAACATAGATATCACATTTTATGCGATATTCAAAAACTTATGAACAATTTTCTTTGATCGTAAGATGACAACGGCAACAACAATAATGGAAACAAACTTGTCTATTAAAGGCAGTGGACAGGCAAAATGGACCCCTGTCAGATTTTGGTAGTTTCGGGTAGTGGACCCCCCAAGTACACCGTAGCCCCAACCCCAACTTCCAATTGATGCGCTAAGTCCTGAAAAAAGCGCTTCAAACTTCCACCAATAACGCCCACTCAATGCAAGTGGGCGGGGCTGGTGGAGTTTTGAAGCGCTTTTTTCAGGACTTAGCGCATGAATTGGAATGTGGGGTTGGGGCTACGGTGTACTTGGGGGGTCCACTACCCGAAACTACCAAAATCTGACAGGGGTCCATTTTGCCTGTCCGCTGCCTTTAACACTAAGAACAAGGAAAAACATGATGTTTACATGCATATGGGTGCTAAAGCTTTTTCTTGCCTCGAAAACCTTCTGTGAAAGGCACAAATGATTGTAGTGTTTCGTTTTTTTTTTTTTCAAAACATATTCTAATCCGTAGCTGTATGAGGCGGAGCAACAACGCAATTACTTTTGTTTTGATTTTATCTTATTCTTCTGCATGCACTTCCTGAGCTCCTCTACCTAGAACGTCTCCGTAGTGCTCGAAAGATTCACAGTAGCTGAAAGTGAACTTACCTGGCTTTCGCATTCTTTCCAATCGTCAAAGCCATCCTTGCAAGCAACGACTGCAATGTGTTGCTCCCAACAGCCAGCGCCTCTGAGATGGTTCTCCTTCTTTAGTTCAAGATAGATATTACATGAAGGCAAGGCTTAGCACCTTAAGTTGCCTACAACCCATTGCGCAATTAAAGCACCAATGCCCCCTACATTGGATATTATGCACATTTTATGCGTGGATTTGAGCAATGTCTACATAACCAACTTCACACCTATATCTGTCAAAAAACACAACAACGCTGGCCAAGATTTGCACCATCGGCGCGTTAGAATGGACTCAACTTGATAATGCGGTACATCAATTTCAAGTCTCTTTCAAAGCTTTCCGTATCCTCTAAAGGCAGCGTCCCACCAGAATGGGGGTAGGCTCCACTAATAATGTAATAGTAAACCCTAACCAAGCGACGACAGAGATTTTCAGCGCGAAAGGGGGTCTACGAAGTCGACAAATCGCCCCCCAGTGACCCGGATCTTACGGTAGGCTCGGACGAATACGAGATGCATGCAAAGTAGAGACGCAGAGTCGTTGTGGGACCCTGTACCCATGAATGTGTGCGCTATGCGTGCTCTGGCCTTGCACTTCGAAATCGCTGTGTGGGCGGCGTCCGGGCCTACCGGAATCCGAGCCACTTTCGGAGCAAATTTCAGGCTTGGTAGACTCCCTTTTTCGCTCCGAACTCCAATCATCGCTTCGCTAGGTCTACTTTGACATCGCCACAAAAGCCCGGCACCCATCTTTTTGCCGGGACGCTGCCTTTGAGGTGCTCGATGAAACATCTTTATGGAAAGGGCTTTACAAAACGCGTCACTCACGAAAGCATCATTTCGCGTCTCAACCTCAAGCCTTCAGCCCTTCTACAGTTTTGACTGATTATCCAATGATACTACCCAAGCAAGCATGCGCTGTTTGCAACAGACGCAAAATAAGCCATCCTCTAGCGTCGACACGTGGAGCTGGTATCGAAATTATTCAGATTCCTCGACATCAACAGAAAAAAAACGGACCGACTCAATCATACCTGATTATTCCCTCAATGCGATTTTCTTCTTCTGCGTCTTTCGCCCAGCTTGATGGACGTGGTGATGGTTGGGACATATACTTAGACCTTTAGCTTTTCATAATGACATCATACTCTAAGATCTGTGAGCATTTCTAATGATATAGCGCATGCATACACTGATATTAAAACTCATGAAAGTGCATTCATCCTTTATTTGAGGTCAGTATGAATCTAATAAGCTAAAATATAACAGAATACACTATCAATGACCTTCGAATCCTTTCATCTGGAACGGGGGTATAAGACCTGTCGTTTCAGCACGAGCTCTCTTCTCTTTCTCAATTTCATCGAGGTAGGGTTTGAGGTACCAAGTTTCCTATAGTATAAAAAATATTTAAAAGTTCTTTCATCAAGAGGTATGCAACGTACATCTTCCCACTTAGTCCACTGACTTTTCGGTAGTCGTTCACCGTGAGTGGCAAGCGTGTGCGCATGCGACAGCCGCATCTAAACTCACATATTGCGCAAATCATAAACAGCCAGACGGCACCAACCTTTCGCTCATCGAAAAGATGGGGTTCCTTCATATTAAGACGCCGAAGGGCTTCAGTCACTTCTGGAGCCGGCTCATAGTATTGGTCGTGGAAAAGCAGTCCATACTCGCGTCCTACAATATCTCCGTCTCGGTGGTTGTCTGTCGAGACGCAGGCTACTTAGATGGTCCGACAATCCCCACGCCAACTGGGCGGTGCCCAGCAACTACAGATGAGCTGGCACTCCCCGGGTGCTCGGCGGTTACCCTTCCCCCTTCCTTATCTTATAAATATATATCAAAGATTCTAGTCATAATGTTATGTTCATTTAAAGTAAGACAATCAAGGTGAAGGATTCAAGTCAGGAGAGTGCACCTCCGCTCCCTTTTTATGAGCCTTTTCCCCCTGTCCACATGCATTCGAAGAGCAGTCAAGCGACTGAGCAATGATGCGATCAAAAACACCTTTCCTGCCCGCAGTCAGTGACAACAAATGGTAAATGGGCAACCTTGATGACGATAATGGTAGCAGCAGCAATCTCCTGCACTCAAACGAAGCAATGATGAAACAAATGGATTGGGCAGTTCGATGACGGCAATGGTTTACTACTCCCAAGCCACGGTTAAAGATGAAAGCTCGGGACGAGCTTTACTATGGAATGGACATGTCGAGACGCAGACTACTTAGATGGTCCGACAGTCCCCACGCCAACTGGGCGGTGCCCAGCAACTCCAGATGAGCTGGTACTCCCCGGGTGCTCGGTGGTCCCCTCCCCATTAATGTCCCCCATTTTGATATATATATTATAATGATAAAATCATCTAGTCAAGAATTCTTCTGTTAAAGATGTAATACAACAGGGTAGAGGGATCAAGTCCCGAGAGTAATTAACTCGTTAGACTTGACATGTCTTATTTTCGAGGGAACGGGACAAAATATTCTTTTCGAATGAACGGGTACAGCATTAGAAAGGTTTTTCAAGAAATCGTTAGGATCTTTCCAAATTTTTTGCGGATCTAACCTCGAAATCTTGTGAAAAGGGGATGGCCTGATGCCACGTTTCCAAAATAGAAATTTTAGGTTGATCATTGCTTGAAATTATCCCAATGGTCTCAAATAAAAACTAGTCTCTTTCACAATTAGACTCACAGAACTTGCACGCTCTCCCCCAAAAATGGTTCGAACAAAGAAGAAATACCAGTCCACAGTTCCGAAAATTTATCTTTGAAAGTTTGATGCGTAACCGTATTCACATTTTCAGTAAGCTTATCTTCTTTGAAATCTGACAAACTTGCACTCATCGTTTTACTATTGAAAAAAGTTGATCGAGGATTCCCAAAAATTCCCCGGACAAATTATCTTGCAAAAACGCCGAAAAGGGCCTACAGAATCTCCACACAATGATTTAGCGCACAGCGAACTAAGTAAAAAACACGTTAGATGGGACGTGGGAGCGCAATGCGACACGCCATTCCCCCTGACTACGTTCAATCTCTCTCCATGACTTCAGCCTTATTCTTTTGTCCTTATGATTCATCTAAATTCTGTACTATGGTGGCAGATCATGTGATGACTGTGTATGCTGAAATCGTCATGTTGCACTTTGCAAATAATCAATTAGAGGTTCTGAATAACTAGTGATGCCGCTTATCAACTTCCTTAAACCGTGGTTAAAAAGTAGCTACATGTGAGGCAATGCTGTATTGAATTGTTGAGTTCGGGAAAATCCCACAAACAGAGATTTTTCAGAAATTTCCGCAGATTTTTTGTTATTGTTGCAAATTTTCGGCTTAGAAAAAAGAATTTCATGGAGAGAGTCTCTACCATTACACTGGAGCTTGTTTGTATCATCCGCTCCCAGATTCGTGAGGAAGCGGGTTGCGGACTTTTCCTGATTATGAGGATAAACGTTTAAACCTCCACGTTGCAGCCTTGTTTTTCGTACTCCTCGTTAAGTTTATATTCGGCGCTATTCGGCTATCCGGGCCCCAAAACTTTTTTGGCATGGATTTCGCTCAAACTTGGCCCAGAGGGGTTATCTGACATGCTGATCACGAATATCACCTTTTCTCCGCAGGAAAGTGCCTCCCTGCAGGGTTACGGTAGGTATACGGTAAGGGTCAAAATCACAGATTTGCCCGAAACTTCGTCTAGAGGGGTTATTTGGCATGCTGAACACGAATATGATGTTTATCTCGTGCGGCAGGCCATCCGGTGGAGTTAAGGTAGGACTACAGTAGAGGGTCAAAATCACGGTCTTGCACAAAACTTGGCCTAGAGGGGTTATTCGGCCCGCTGATGCCAAATATCACATTGGTTTTGAACCATAGCGTCATTTTCTCGGGTTACGGTAGCTAAACGGTAACGGGTGTAAAGCATAGTTTTGTAACGGGTGTACGACGATTCGGACGATTGTGAAGCTTTGCATACACGACCACCGCCGCGCGCTACACACCCTGCTGCGGCTTTTGCCTAAGCAAAGCACAGGGGGAGATACATTTGCCGTTTTGTGATTTTGACCCCTACCGTAAACCTACCGTAACCATGCAGGGAGGCGTTTTCGTGCGGAGAAAGTGTGACAGTCGTGATCAGCATGTCAGATAACCCCTCTGTGCGAAGTTATAGCGGATTTTGAGATTTTGACCCCCCACCGTATACCCACCGTAACCCGAGAAAGTGACGCTACGGTACAAAACCAATGTGATATTCAGCATCAGCGGCCCGAATAACCCCTCTGGTCCAAGTTTCAGCTGAATCTACGATTTTGACCCCCTATCGTTTACCTACCGTAACTTCACAGGAAGGCGGTTTCCTGCGGAGAAAATGTGATATTCGTGATCAGCATGTCAGATAGCCCCCTTGGACCAAGTTTGAGCGAGCGAAATCCATGACCAAAAAATTTTGGGGCCCGGATAGCCGAATAGCGCCGTTTATTCTTATATTCAGGGAAGTCAGCAACCCGCCTTCACACGAATCTGGCCGATCATAATTTCATAGCCCTTGAATAGTTCGTAGACTGTTTTGACCACAAGTCCCTCAGAATCATCCGAAGAAAAATATTTAACCGCACGCATTCGCAAGTATCATCGGCTCCACGATTCCTGTAGAGACGGGGTTTCGCCAACTCAAAGCGTGGCGGTTTTTCATAGCGAGAGAGTACAAAAAACAATGGTATGACTTGGAGGTTTAACAAGTTTACCTGCTCAGGGACTCGCACCGTGCGGGCGGCCAGCGACGAACTTACAATCGCTCGTTGGTGTGTGCGATTGTACGGTCGTCAAGGGCCGTTAGCACGGTTAACGTGGGGCGCTCGCACGGTTTCTAATGCTCGCCGCTTGCGCGGGGAAGGTCGGCCGCTCGCTTGCTGCTGGAGTAGGTTTATATGGGGTATTTTGACCATTTTTCTTAGGTATGTTAAGCATTTTCACATCCTGCGAACACGGACTAATGCCTGACGCACTACCCAAACTTTCCATGGAGAAGCCCACACCATCACTCTTGATAACTGTAGCCTCACGCAGGTTCATTCCAGCTTTGCGGCGAAGGGAAATGTTGATAACACGATAGTCGACGCTTAGCCAGCCTAAACGCTGCGTCGTATCTCATGCAGGTACCGTTTACGCTCACAGTGTGTGAAAACAATGAGCCGAAGGTAGAGGTCACTGTTGGCCGCTTGCACGGGCAAATGTTTGCCGCCCGATCGAACGGACACATTGCCTGCCGCTTGCACGGTCGGTTTCATTGCGTACCGATTGCGCGGCGAGATTGCCTGCCGCTTGTACGATCAAGTGGTTGCTGGCCGATCGTGCGGACGCATTGCCGCCGCTTGCACGGTCGATTTTATTGCGTGCCGATCGAACGGGTAGACTGTCTTCCGCTTGCACGGCATTTTTATTGTTGACCGCCCGCACGGTACATCAAAAACTATGCAGTGCGCTCAGGCGGAGGAGCTTTAATGAGGACCGCCCGCACGCCGCGAATCCCTGAGTGTGTTATCAGGTAAAGTCTGCAATACACCTCTACACGAATCGTGGAGACGCTCATAAACACATAAGATTTGCCCATTTCTATTTAGAGTGATGCAGTTACTCTACAGCATACAACTACTTTGTTTTATCGTTCTTTATGCATAAAGTTATTGGTATGATGCTGCCGAAACCTAGCGAGTAAGAATGCCAAGAAATCAGCAGACATTCATTCCTCGTTTCCCAATGATAAATTTTAGAAGCCAACCTTGGAAAGTTCTAGCAGACACCCAATTGATTAACAGATGTAAAACCACAAACCTCCCCAAAAGTGAGTCCATGCGAACTTGCGCATCCAGTTCACCATTGCATTATTGTAGGTAAACTTGACTGCCTTCGAAGCCATCTGAATGTGATGTAAGGTTCATTTAAAGTGAATGCAAACTCAATAAGCTTCAGATATGATATGAGGCATTCTACCTTTCACGACAAAAAACGAACAAGCAAAAACGTTGATTCAGATGATTTATCTCATCAAAGCTGAGATAAGCTAGTTTTGAAATTTGAAGTAGTATGCATATTCAAAATTGGAAGTTAAAGTACATTCTGGCATGAAGAATGAAAAAAAGAAGAAAAAACTTTCTTGCACCAGGAACAGCCCGTATTAAAAAATTAAACCGTCGGATATAGTGTGTGCAGGCGACGGTGCACACTTTGCACTTGCGCACCATTTACCGTGCCCGAAAAACATAATTAGCGTAGGAACAGAGCTTTGCTCAAGTGTAAATGAAGTTTTAACATGATTTCTTTTCCTTGCAATGTCTTTGAATAATTTAATTTTTTTCTCAGCATGAGTAAATGGATAAAAATTCTCTTTATTATAAGTTCAAACAAGTCCAAGACATTGTTTAATTCTAAAACCTCTGACAAGTATGGTATTGTACGAGTGCTAGTGCGTCGGAAAATATACAGGCGAAATTATAAATGAAATTATATCATTATACAATGGAAAGCGAGCAGACATTGAAAAATAGTGTTGTTGCACACATGTATAGAATATTTTGTGGGCTAATGTAATTACTGAACGATTATTGATTGTGATTCTGATAGCGTAGAATTTGTGCAGATTTGCCGTAGGATGTGCAATTACACTAGATGCACGAAAGAACTGCTCGACTGCAATAAGCGTAGAAAGAGTATACACAAGCGTAGACACGGCACGTTTTGTAGTCTCTCAGAGACAGCGAGCGATCAAAGCAAATTTGTAAAACATCGATTTATTTCTTCTTCAGTTGGTCAAATCTTCTCGCGAGCTCATCGAAATCCAAATCACCGCCACTGCCGCCACCACCGCCATTATTGCCAGGTGGACCTCCAGCGAAGGTGCTTGGTGGTTCGGGGAATGTCCAATCTGAAAACTTATGTTTTTCAACCAGGAATATATAGAATCACCTAATGACTAGAATAGGTCCTTGTTGATAGGGTCATCTAGCGCACATGCACAATTTAGAAATCCAGATTTAGAAAAGTAGCGCTAGGCTCGAATAGATGAACAGTATTTGCATGGCTAATGGTAAGTTGCTTCCGAAAATTTGTTATTAGTTTCGAGCATATCAACGACACTTTGAAGACATGAAAACACTTTGTCACGAAAACATTATATATTGTCTCCATAAAATTCACCCCAGCATTCTTATGCGTACAATTCTCCGTGACAGACAAAAAAAAACTAGAGTGCTACCAACAGGATGATTTAAGAATTTTATTTTTGCCACTATTGTGCGTTATTCGACACGTGAATCAAAAGCCCAACTCATCCTTAAGGGCTGTCCACGTGCCGAATAACGGCGCAAGGTAAGGTGGTGGGAATTTTTATGCTGTAATGGGGCCCTTGGCTAAGTAATTACTTATGCCCCGCTGCAAAACAGGATTCCTAAACGAGATATTCGCTCCAGAACCGAACATATCCATTCCGCCCATCGAGGTGGTGCGAAAGTACTGTGCCGGATTGGGCTTCAGGTCCCTTCCCATGTCAGGAATCTGCTTTTTATAATAAAAATCAGAATTTTGAAACTCCTAGCTACTAGGGCCCAACTTATCACACATTATTTTCGGATCAACAACACTGATAAGCGAGAGGACGTGTCCACGATCTCCTGCGACGCTTTCTCGCTTACGAATCCATCTAGCAGAACTAAGCGATTACTTAGTCAGGGCCCACAGCCACCCCATTACACAGCATAGATCTTACCATTCTCAATTTGGGTGTCAACTCCTTCAAAACTTCCGTAGGGGAGTTCGCATTAAAAAGATTACATATATCCATGATAAATCATCCACTTGTTCCTCGGTTCATATTAAGATACTCCAAATTGAAATGCACATAGATCCATCGCGCGTTACGGTAAAGAGTAAAGTAGATTTGTAATCGTTATCAGCAAGCCAGATACCGTTCCCTAGCTGGGCAGCGTTTCGATAATTCACGGCTTCAAGCCCTAATCGTATGCCTATCCTAACGTTGAAAATTTATTTACCCTGTACAGTTTGAATCATTTAAAAAAAAGTCTGGTTTTGCAAGGAGTCACCACTCACAGCATAAAATGGAAGATCCAACACACGTAGAAGATCCAACCTAAGCATGCACACACCAAATCTTACCTCAGAATCTACGGACGACTCATCTAGTTTAGAGTCATTTTCAGGCTTAGCGCGCAAGCTCAAGTTCTGCGCTTGAAGAGGAGAATTGGATGTTGCACTAGAGTCACTGTCTGTAGATGAGTCGCCTATAAAGAATTTGTCTTCTACTTTCTACGATTTCTTGACGGTTCAGAGGTTCATACGGTCCAAAGAATTTACGCTTACTGCTGCATTGATCACTCAACAGTCATTACATCAATCAAAAACGTTGATCAACAACCAAGTGGGATATAACTTCAGCTAATAAAAGAAGTGGTTAAAATGCGTTCAAATGTGTTTTTGATTAGTAATGAGTCACAAATAAACAATAAAAAATTACAAAAAATTTGAACTGCATGACAGATCGAGATAAAATACACGCCAAATTATGCAGTCAGAGACTTTGCGTCATCAAGTGAAATTATGCATAATCACATAGTCAAGTAAAGGAAAAAAATACATCTTCAAAGTCAAATTTTGTCTTAACCCTAAACATGCCTGCTATGAGGGACCAGCGCCCCATAACAAACATCTTTGGATAGGCGTCCGAGCTTTCAAAAGTTTCCCAAAAAAACATTTTGGCTACTGCTCTTTGTCATCAAAACAGGGTGCGGTAGGTAACAACGGTAGGCCACCCATTGAAGATGGCCTACTCACATCTGTTGATGTTCTTTTCTCAACAATTCTACAAAATGATTCACCGTTAGGTAGAGTAGCATCGTCGTTTTGCTTGATGGTCTGTGGAGGTGCTGATGGTATGTTGCTAGTGGCATGAGGTGGTACGACTGGCTTCTTCTCGTCAACAACCATCGAATTCTGTAATAAAAAAGACTTACTCTTCCATACGTAAGTCTTTTTCAAATATGCAAAGTGACCATGGAAAGTCTGCGACCCTGCTTCCTCCTTCCGCCATCCGCGACAATAAAACCATCAAAAGAGTTGATTAAAAGCATCTTTGCAAACTAATGAGAGTCCCGCTTTGCCCTATCCCAGTACTCCGTTCGCACTACCGCGCCTCCACTCCCTTGCTTTTTTCTCACAATCCTTCCCATTTACTTGTTCTAACCTGCTGCTTGGAATCAGTCACAACTAGTTCTATGTCTATAGTTGACCTCTGATGTCAATCCGATGCGCTAAACAGCATGCACCTAGGCACGCCAAACTGCGGGCGCAGACGGCTACCAGTGGTGTTATGTGCAAAAGGAGCATTAAGAGATTAATGTCTAACTGATGCTAGTAGATTTGACGATTTATAGTGTCGTGCCGACAACATTTGCGCGTGAGCAGATTGCGTCATATGGGCATTTATTCACGCGGAAGTGTTGTCAGCAGCGCAAAGGCACTGCATGTACCTTCAAATCTACACGGCTACATGCGGGTGCCAAATCACACCTTGATCAAACTGAGACTACTCACAAGATACCAGTGGTGGTCCCAGGATTTCGTACCGGGGGGGGGGGGGGGGCTACAAAAATTTTTTCTGAGTGCGTGGCCTTAGCCACACACTCCAAAAATTTTTTTGGGGTGCTTCTTAAAATTTCTGCGGGCCTCCAATCGCTATAATCTGGAAAAAGGAGGCGTGGCTGGCGCCACGCCCCCGAAAAAATTTTTTTTTACAAGGCTAATTTGAATTTCTGAAAATTTTCAAAAATATTTTGATTGCTTACAAGAAAAAACGAGTCACTTGCGCATTTTTATAACCGAGTAAGGAATTTTCGAAAATCTAGCGACCCATTCTCGAGGGAGGGCGCCCCCCCCCCCCCCGCTTCGGTCCGCCACTGCAAGATACATATTTGGATTATTTAAACACGATCTTGACAAGATCGGTCATTGGAAGCGCTCAGCGCATAATGATATTGAAGCGGGCTTTTTTGAAATCTAATTCCATCTTTTTTCTTCAAATTTTATTCCGATACATCAAAGGACAGTGCTAGGGTACGTTTCATCTAAACCTGCGCTGAAATGATTAACAGCTTCTGATCCATACTGCTGACTTAGAGCCTGTACATTGGCTTCCTAGTAAAAAATCTGTACATCATTTTGTGCTAGCATTGAGACTGGTACAGCCCAATATTTACATCATTCAAATCTTGACACAAGAGCTTGTTCGCTATTATACGGACTTTTTAGTCTCTTACACAAACAATCTTTACACAATGGGTGAACTTTCAACTAAAGCAAACCCAACATAAACGAGGAAATGAAGAGTTAAGTGGACCAGGAAAATATTGAAAACAAGTGTGTGAAATGGTTTGAAGACAAGGACAGCCAAGGACAACAACTCTTAAATGTGAATTAGTACCAAGGCTCGGTACGAGGTAGCTTTTCGAAAATGCAAAAACGAAGTCCCCCTTGACTTACGCAATATTTTACGAAGTCCCGTTTGACCCTTATCCTAGATATCCGAATCAACTAAACAAACGAAACGTTGGCTAGAAAAAAAACCTACACAAAAACAAAATGCACTTTGTTTTTTGTCTCAAATACAATATCCAGCTCTTGTTTATAAACCACCTGTGTTGAGCCCTGGTTGATACTGGGGCCCCAACCCACCCAGGGACATACCCATAACTCTCCCAGCTTCTCCCTGAGTCCTGCGGAAGTTCCTATCAATCTCTGAATGCAACAAACCTTTGATGATGGTTTTGTACTATTACTCCTCTTACATGAGCCACATTTCGATTTCTTCTTCGACTCGGTGATGCTTAAGTTCTTACGACGACTCATAAGCAGCATTTTGGCAATAGTTTCTGACAAAAACTATGTTATTTAACGAAAAAAAGTGCGTTTACGTCACGAAATTAGAGAGCAAAGCGAGATATATGTTATCATTTCAAATGAAATACTAAAAATTCTTCCCATCCTCTCTAGATTTGGAAAAGATTATGACGAGAGCAGCATGCATAGCAAAGATGCGGAAGTGGAATGCAATTTTCTATATATTCATAACCCAGACATCCCCAATTTGATTTGTCCACTAAAAAGACTGCATGGTATAGTGCAACTGAGCAAAAGTTCATTATGAGATGCCATATAAGGATACACATGTGCAAGTTGTGAAAGATCTTCATATGCTTTAGTATAACGAGCTATATCTTAACATTATAATTCGTTATGCTAGAGCATCAGAGCCTGTGGAATTGAGATCCTCGAAAAATGAGTGAAATTGAGAAGGTTAGCTAGCGGCTCATTCGTATTCATTGCAAGCTTCAAGCTTTTCATGAAAGAAACGATGAGAGAATGCAAAGCTTACAAAGAAACACATTTCTAAGTCTTGAAATCAGATCTGCCGGCAAAAATCTTCATTCCAAAAAGAACAATATAGCGGATTCCTTAAACGCACAGAATTGTGATGTTGCCCCTTCCAAAAGAGTTTGCTGGCCTGCTACACTTAACGGTTGCAGTATCCCTGCGGTTCAGACAACATTTGCGCGTTTATTACACGCTTATGTCGATACACTGCGCGTAAAAAATTGCCAAATGCACATTTCAACAATTTCGGTTCAAAATGGCCATTTTTTTTCGCGCAAATGTTGTCTGCACCGCAGGGGCACCACATTGAGTTTTACTTATATCACACTGTGCAAAGGCGATAGACTATGGTAGAGATGGTGAAAGATCGCCCCGTAATGACTTCGTTCATGCGATGAGTATAGCTAGCGAATTTGACGACAAATACACTGTTCTTGTGTTGCCGACATCACTTGCTTATAAACAATTGCAATGTTCGCTCCATGGCCATTTTTTTCGCGCTAGCCACAAGCAAGTTGTCGGCACTCAAAAGCACGGTTTTGTTTGTGCGCAAATGTTGTCGGCAATACAAGTACACTATTTACCGCCAATCTGCTAGTCTATAGTCGTAAATGAATAAAACGATTTCGTTCATTTACCAAAGATATTAGTAGTTTCAGACACTCGAGATTTACTGTCAAAGTTCGCGTTTGAAAAATTTGAATTCTGCAACACATAAACAATGAAAACATAATATAAGCTTGGGTAAAATATTGCAACGCTACCTCACACAATCTACGGGAAATTCCGCCAGATAGAAACTATCAGTAGCGTTGCACAGGAATTTGTTTACTATCACAGAACCAAGGAAAATGGTGAACTTCCGCAGGGATTTGAAGCCACACTATACCAAAACGGAAACTTCCACAGCGGTTTGAAAAAAGAGCTGCGGAAGAAGGCTTCATTCCCTGGATATCCAGCGGAACTTCCCGTCACTTTGAGATTGATAAAATTTGCTTACTTAAATTTTAAATGCCATAAAGATATTAACTAAAATTGATTGAGTGCTCGTTCACAGTGTACAAGTAGGTAGTCACAGATCTAAGAGCACAATGCTCAACTACTTCGAGCTGACACGAGCCTCCTATTGCCTCTCTTAACGAAGGGTGAAGCTATGTCAACATCAAAGTGCATTTCCACACAGTAGCCAGAGCAAGCGAAAGCGATGCCAGGCACAAACCTGACTTATTGAGCTTAAATGTAAATTAGGGATTCTACAATGTGCAAACAAAACAGCAAACCTCGTGCCTACCAAGATACGGCTAGCGCAAAACGATAAAATTTGTTTTCTTTAAAAGTATGGACATGCCTTGAATTCCCGAAGGCTTGCAAAAACCAGTGCTCCACTTCTAGAAGATGTCACGCATAAAATTAGATTCATTTGGTATGGGATGCATTACCAAAATGACATTTACCCTCATCGGTATTCCGCGTTCGATGCGGAAGTATTGTATTCAAGTGATTCAACGAAGTTGAACAGCTGGCTCAAAACAAAACGCATATGACACAGAATGCTAAAACATTTTGACTTCGAGAAATTAGATATCCAGAATAAAAAAAATGAAGAAAAAAAGCAACTTCATTTCCTGAATTACGTCCAAACAATGAAAGGAACGTTTCCCATAGAAAAAGGAAAAATTTGTCTTTTGAACCGAACGCATCAAATAAACTCGAGGGATCTAAGCTGTATTGCAGCGTGTCTAATCCTCAGTCAATTTCATAGCAAAAAATAGAATACCCTCCAAGCGAACCCCCAAGATCGTGACGAATAGATTTTTGTGACATTTTTTTATAAGACAGCAGATCCTATGGTAGAATGATCGTGCGCGATCATGATTTCAGGAGAGAAAATCTCGACTTTGCTACTCCAGGTAGAAAAAAATGCAAGCACAAACTTATAGGAATGATATATAGGTCTTGCACTAAAATGTTAGGAAATTGCGAGTTCCTGTACAACTGGGCCCCTATGTAATACGAGTGGAAAAGACGGCCTTCGACGTACCAATCTTGATTAAACTGTCGGAAATCCATAACTTTGTGCAAAATGATTTTCCCTGATCGGACTTTGATAGTTGAAAGGGAAATTTTGGAAAGATTCAAAAAACCACCGAAAATTCGGAATTTAGTTTCATAAAGAGGGTTTTCATCGAGTTACCCCAACTAACCGTCGCGGCTGTTTGATGAACCCTCTAAATGAAAGTAAATTCTGAAGACTCAAGGGTTTTTCGAATCCTTGTAAAATTTCCTTTTCAAGAATCAGAAACCGATCACGAGAAAATCATTTTGAACAAAGTTATGGTTTCCCAACGGTTTCGTCAAGATTAATACGTCGGAGACCGTCTTTTCCACCTGAGTTAGGGACTTAGTAGATCCACTAATTCCGTTTGAATCGTGAGCTTCATAACGGCATTAAAAAATTATTGTTGTCATTTGAATAAAGAAGAACACTGCAAGTGCACTTCCAAAATATGGTTGCTAAAAAGCTTAAATAAGTCCAAGCCTTCTCAATTCACTTTTGCTTAGAG